TGTGATGTGGTCAACCCGGACCATATTGATGTCAAATTCGAGTGTATTGGGGGATTGGATGCCATTAAGCAGCAACTCTATGAATTGGTTATTCTTCCACTACGCAGACCTGAACTTTTTTCTAGTGGAAAGCTTCTTTGTCCTCAAAAAGGTGTTTTGCTATATGGGCCGCCTGGCACCGGGAAGACAATGCTTGCGAAAGCAATTGCAAAAGAATCCGGAGCTGTTTTCATTAATGTGAGAGTATCCAACCTTATGAGCAAGTATTTCGGGGATGCACAGAAATTGGGTGTGTGTATTTTGTTTCCTCTTCTAAACCTATTGGCATTGCATTTTTTTGTTTTTTTTTTTCGTCCAAGTTTTTTAATTGTATGATCGTAACGTGAACCTCCAAGTGGTGACTGAATATAGAAATTTATGAATATTTTAACATCTTCTGTTTGGTTTTTTTTTATGCAGTGACTGCTGTATTCACTTTGGCGTACAAACTCCAGCCAGCTATAATTTTCATTGATGAAGTGGACAGCTTTCTGGGCCAACGCAAGTCCATGGACCATGAAGTAATGGCTAACATGAAGACCGAGTTTATGGCTTTGTGGGATGGGTTCACTACTGACAGTATATTCTCTATAAATCTATGTACAGTATATACGTGCATGTGTTTGTGTGTGCAGTGAAGTTTATAACTTACATGTCGTTTTAGAGTTATGGTGAGGCCATTCTCATTGTATTTTGTGTTTGTTGCGGAGCATGCTCGGGTTATGGTACTTGCTGCCACTAATCGTCCATCAGAACTTGATGAGGCGATTTTGAGACGTTTTCCACAGGCATTTGAAATTGGGCTCCCGAATCGCATGGAGAGGGCTGCAATCTTAAGAGTGATACTAAATGACGAGAAAGTTGAAGATGGTATCAATTATGACCATTTAGCTGGTTTATGTGATAGGTGCACTGGTTCTGATCTTCTCGAGCTCTGCAAAAAGGCTGCTTATTTCCCAATTAGGGAGATGCTTAATTATGAGAAAAATGGAAATACATCTCAGGTTGATCTTTTCTTTTCTTAATTTTTCGTTAATATTATTATCATTGTGTGTTTTTTTTTGTGACAGTGTATGAGAATTTTGTTGCATATATTATATTGAAAATGTTCTGTTATATGTTGCATCATTAATATTGGGCTTCTTGAAAGTTATTAGACCTCTCTAATTTCAGAAGCCAAGGCCATTGTCACAGTTGGATATTGAGATAGTAATTGCTACAACCAAAGGAACAAGGGCTGCAGCAAATGAATACAGCAGCCGATCAAACTCGCATTTTCTCGAAAACTCTTCTCAGACCGAATCAGACGATTATCAGGTCTGATAAGCCATTAATAAGCAATCTAATCAGCTATTGCACTACATCAACTACATTTACTCGTGTAGAGTTTTCAATTTAAGTCTTATATTGATTTGTAATATTTCCAACTTACCGATTTTTTCTTTTCAATTTTCAGGATTAGTGTTAACTGAATCAAAGTTTTACTGACGGTAACCTGATATTGAACGAGGCTATGAGCTGAAATGTGCTTTGCCTTTTAAGGTCGTGACAGTGAAACTTTGATTTGTATCTACGGGACCGGTGTATCTAGAAGCTCATTCTGTCGAATTGTAATGATTTTACCTACTGCTCACTGTAGCAATTATTATTATTATTATTTGCTAGTAAAAGTTGCATAAATTTGATGATTTCAAGCTTGCTAGGGGAGTATGAACAGTCCTTACTCTCAAGTTTTCCTTTTCATTTCCAGTGGACAAAATTTGGGCCAAATGATTTGGGCTGTAGCTGTATTTTGGTTGCTAGATCTGATTTGGCTTCCAGCAGTCTAATGTTGTCTTTTTCAAGGATGTAAGACTTAGGCCTAGTCAACTATCTTTGTCACTGTTACAAATTTTCGACAAGATCAAATAAGGATATGTTGAGGACTACTGATAGTCATGCTGATTTCATAATCATTTGTAGAGATGTTAAATGGTCTTTGGCCCGACGGGCCGGCCCGTTTAGCCCGGAAAAAAAGAGGGTTAGGTCCTTCTATTAGTAGTCCGTTTAAATCAGGGCTTTTTGGGCCCAGACCGTTTAGCCCGAAGCCCGCTAAGGCTAGCCCGGAACCCGTTAGGGCTAGCCCGTTTAACTAGGGTTGGGCGGTGTAAATGTTTGCATCAAGTAAATGATATGCTCTTAGATTCCTTGTATATTACAATTTTGATATTCCACTTCACATGTAAGTACGAATTGTAATGGATTATTATGATTTTGAAAGATAATTATTAACAATATTGTTATTGTACTTCATACCAAAATATTTAAGCCAATCAGAACGATTAATAAGAAATACATGAAACATAGTGATAGACGGTAAATACTAAATATCCGTTGAAAATATTTTTTAACTAGCCGTTGTTATTTTTTTTTTTTATATTTTTTACTCTTTTTATTTTTTATTTTTTTATATATTATTATTATTATTATTATAGCCATAGCCCGCATAGCCTGTTTAGCCCGAAGCCCGCTAAGGTTAGGGTTAGGTCCTTTTTTTGGTAGCCCATTTAAATCCGGGTTTTTAGGCCCGGACCGTTTAACCCGAAACCCGCTAGGGCTAGCCCGAAACCGCTAGGGCTAGCCCGTTTAACATCTCTAATCATTTGTATATTATATGAACTATCAATTTATAATTAACTATATCAATTCAAATGTATGTCTTCTGATAGGTTTAATTTTCAAGTATTCATATTTTTATTAAAAAATACCATATCTAAAAAAAAAACATAAACAGAAGTATAATATTTAATAGTGTAAGTATGTATCTTTTTCACATAGTATGACGAACTATACACCTAACGGTTAAACTGTATAAAATAACAATCGTAAGCCTTGTGTTAGGCCATCCTAACCATTAGTCGACATTTTTTTTTTACTAATATGCATACTTTCATTATAAAATATCATACTTTAAAAAAATAACAAATTGAAATATGAAAAAGTATGACATTTAATAGTCTAAGACTAAGTATGAATAAAATGTTAGTAGTAATGATAAAAAAAATAAAAATAAAATGTTAATAGTATGGCCGGTCTATCCGACTTATGATTAGGTTGTCTAACACAATAATATGTGCCCAACAATTTATGCAAATTTGATTGTATAATGCAACTATGCAAGTATTGTATTAATAAATTTCTTGCTATGATGCACGAATACAAATAAAAAATTATATGTTATATATCTGTGTATATATAATTTTAAATTATGAGTTAGATAATCAAAATTTTAATTTATAAGTTAGATAATGAGCATATTACATTTTATATTTATTTTTACTATTAGCAATAATGAACACTATAAATATAAATTATTTAACTTAAACTAGTATTTCAATCATGTGCACATCCACAAAAATAAATAAAATAATTGACACTCTATATTATATATCTAAAATTATAAGTTAAGCAATGGATATATCCCGTTTAAAATTTTTTACCATTAGTAGAATGGTCAAAATTTGATTGTACAATGCAACTATATGCAAGTATTTGTTAATAAATTTCTTGCTATTTCTTCAATAAAAAATATTAAATCGTAATTGTTCCCTTTCCATAAACACGTTTCAGTTTGTTGCCATCCAAACACGACCTAAGAAGAATCGTCGCCTAGCTGGCATTTGGTCTTTGAAGAAATATTTTTCTTCTCTCTACCTTTCGCTGTGATCGCCAATTTTCCTCGACATCTCAGACATCTCACTCTCCGATCTTCTGCAAATATCTCTTTGAGTAAGTCGTTTTAATCCTAAAGTTCACCCTTTCAGATGATTTCTGTTCGTATTTTTATGCATCAGAGATTGTGAACCGAAATTATTTGATCATTTTAGGGTTTTGTATTCGAGTTAGTATTGTGTTTGTGTTGCAGTATATTGCATCTCATCAGCTTATGAAGTGTCGTTTTTTTTTGTTTGATTGGATATTCCTTAATCCTTCGTATGCAGCTATTGTTGGAGTTTGAATTGTGACTGGAATATTTTGCTGGTGTTTTGTTGAGGAATTGGATTTCAGAAAAAGCTTTGAGTTTAGCAATGGTAAAGTTTCGGTCCTGGACTAATCTACCCTCTCCCTGTTGGGTGTTTTTTAGCGTTATGGCTCTATTGTGGTAGTAAAGTAGCAATCTTTGATTTTATTGTTTTCAGAATTTCATAATTGGAGCTTTTAAACCAGCATGCAACATTTCAGTTGTTTTTACTGATGGGAAATCTCGGAAACAGGTACATTTTTATCTTTTCAGCTTGAACTTTGTGAATTTCTATCCAGTCGAGCTTGCACGGTAGTGTGCTCAGATTGGTTCCGTTGTGGGATTCATTAGGATATTTTAAGTATTCATGTTAATTTTCACCTGGAATATGTTTCAGTTAATGGTTGCTTCTGTCTATAATTGTCTAATTGACTTGTCATCTCAGTTGTTAAAACTTACAGATTCCAGGATCAACTTTGGCATATTGAAAACTTTCTTTTCTTAAAAACCTTTCTCTAATGAAGTCGAAGGATGAGTGTTGGGTAATATTATCCAGACAAGTCGTCTGTTTGCCTGTTATTGTACATTAATTAATAGTTAAGTTTTTGTGTTTGCTGTTGTTTGTGTTGGTAATTAATAGTCTGTTGAATTTTAGAGGTAGGTAGTCACTTAGATTCGTAATTTGAATGGTCGAGCAGTTAAATTATGATTAATTTGTTTCATTCATTTTATTTTTACTCCAGGTGCCATTGAAGAAGGAAAATGGTCAAACAGTAATGGTCCCACTTTTCCAAAGTCAGGAAAGCGTATCTGGGAAGGTACCATGTATTGTGGAGTTACCTTAATATCCTCATTTTAGATTTCAAGTTTAATTTTAAGCTCTGAGTTTAAATGTACACTACATTTCTTTTCCAGATCTCTGTCGAACCAGTTTCTGGGAAAAAGGTGGAACACAATGGAATTAAGGTTGAGCTTCTCGGTCAGATAGGTGTGTTGTTTATGCAAATCAGAGCGTGTAGATTCAGTTTTATTTCTGTATTGTGTTAGCATTGCATTGTATTATGCGAGCGCACTTAATTTGTTGAATCAACCTTGTAATTGACTTTATTACCTAATCAAAATATAAAAGTAACCTTGTAAAGGATACTCAGAGTCTAAAGGATGTTATTACTTGATGTGTTCAGTTTGTGCTTTTATTAACATCCGTTCTCTTGCAGAAATGTACTTCGACAAAGGCAACTTCTATGATTTCACCTCTCTTGGTTAGTATTTTCTTCTCAAGTTCATGCCTTTGTGTTAGTTATAGAATGGCAATCATTGTAGTAACTATACAGCCTTTCTTATTAATAGATTATGTGTAGAAGATTATTATTAGGGCTTATATTTCATTTTTAGTACCGTGTCGCAGTGCCATAATGAACATACCATTCTTGTAAGAAGTGAATTCTCCTCTTATTTGTATGTCATATATTTTTTCTTATACTTATAGTTCGTGAACTGGATGTTCCGGGAGAAATATATGAAAGGAAAACATATCCATTTGAATTTTCAACTGTGGAAATGCCATATGAGACGTACAATGGAGTGAATGTGCGGCTTAGGTAAGTTGTTCGTGGTGTTTAAAATGATCTTTTCATATATCTTTTGCCTGCAGTTCATGTACATTTGAAATGGATTCTTTGGCTACAGGTATGTCCTAAAAGTGACAATAAGTCGGGGCTATGCTGGAAGCATTACCGAATACCAGGACTTTGTGGTAAAACATCAAATTCCCATTCACAGTAAAAAGAATATACACATTATCCTCTTATAAAAGGCTCACCAGATTGGAAGTTGTGGTCTGATGTCCGCATGACTGTTCATCATCCCCCTTTCCTTATTTTAAACGGTGGCATTATTGGGGAAGAGGGCTATGCTAATTTTATTAATCTTGAAAAGTTTGTCTCCTAAGGGTCATAAATTAATCTTCTTGTTTGCTCATGAAAAGTTTGTTTGTTCTGCTGATTATCCTCAATTCTCATGGATCAGGTCAGGAATTTTAGCCCACCTCCATCAATCAACAACAGTATCAAGGTAACGTTACTTATTTTGAGTTGTTCGTTATTGTGCTATTAGACTGTCGTGCAACTTGTGCATTCTAAACTGTCAACCTCAGATTTAACTTGAGGAAGACTGATAAGAAGTTGAACCACACATTCTCATAGAGAATATGCCATAAATCTTTGATGTTTTCATTGTAGATGGAAGTTGGAATTGAGGACTGTCTCCATATCGAGTTTGAGTACAATAAGAGCAAGTATGTCACTTTTTTAACTTTGATCGATCCACTTCCTCCTGTGACTCCCCGGAAAAATTCTTCCATATATCTCTTTTGATAGCCTTAATCCAATGCCATTTCCTTTGTTTGGTTGTGCTAGTATTTATTTATTTTTCCTTTTAATTGAAGAAGTCTATAAGAGGTGGGTAGTAGTGCCTTGCTGATTGGAATTCTGATATCCAGGTATCATCTGAAAGATGTTATTATAGGCAAAATATACTTTCTTCTTGTTCGAATCAAGATAAAAAATATGGATCTTGAGATTCGGCGCCGAGAATCGACGGGCTCAGGGCCCAACACTCATGTCGAGACTGAGACACTTGCAAAGTTTGAACTAATGGATGGTGCTCCAGTCAGAGGTATTGTACTCTTTTTTCCTGTTGGCTAGCCTCTCTTTCTCTGGGCTTTGATTTAATTTTTATTATTAATATTATTTCTTTCGGAAGAATTACAAGAATAGCAGTATTTTTAATCTGACTTGCAAAACATTCCATCTCAATGCAGTAGTCATTACCTCTTGAGTTTTTTGCATATTGACAAATATCCTCTACTGAGGGTAAAATTTATAAAACAAAACAAAGATCCACGAGATATTTGTGATTTTGGAATGTGACTTGTCGATACTTTGCTTTAACAGGCGAATCAATTCCAATCAGATTGTTCCTAAGCCCATATGAGCTGACTCCAACATACCGGAACACAAACAACAAATTTAGCGTCAAATACTTTTTAAACCTTGTGCTCGTTGATGAGGAGGACCGTCGATATTTCAAGCAACAGGAGATCACAATGTACCGGCTTGGTGAAACATCATCTTGATTTTCGACTTATTGAATGCATTTCAAGCCTTACATGAAAGTCGTGCATTTTTAGCCTTTGTCCTGTTGAATTTGTGGTGCTTCTTAAAAAGGATAAGGAAAACGAGTTAGCTTTTTATTGTTCGTCTTGATCAGTTAGACCCATCTTTGATTCCAAAAATACGTACAGTTGTACAGAGGAAGGACTGTGTGAACTGCATATAGATCTCATTTTCTTCGAAATTGTGGTGATTATGAGGGTCGCGACATGTTTTGTGCTTTGCTGGGATTAATCTTTATGTATTCTGATTGAAACATGTTGAGACTTTATTCGGGTGTTTTAATTTATCCTTGAGACGATTTTTCCGCATCTAAATGGCTTCCTGCTTGCTGTTTTTATGTCACTTTTATTTATGATTTTGATAATCCCTTCTCAAATTTTTTAACATTTTCCATACAAAGGAACAGCGATTTTTAATTTTGTTCAACTTAAGTTCATTTTGCATCAGGAGAAACTTATAACTACGTAAAATCTGTAAAAGATGCACAATTGATTTCTCAAACACACGCAACGAATCCTATGCATTAGAACTTTAGAACAAAACATAGACTTTTATAACATCTCAAAACAAATTTCGTTTCACTGGACTTCAGTCTTCAGATACTGATGGCAGGCTTTCTTTGAACCAATTGTAAATCCCTCCTTCCAAGTGGTAGACGTTAGTGTACCCGTTGAGAACAAGCAAGTAAGCTGCTATAAGTGACCTGCAATAAGCGTTAACATAGGAAAACAAATCACCACGGAAAGAGTAAAAAAGAAAACAATTTTGAACCTCGACTGCTGTCCTTCCGGAAGATTCTGTGACGGCTTTGTTGTTCCTCCAGCTGAACACGCGACTATAATTTTCGCATCCTTAGCTATCTTAGACTCCACACCTGCTTTTTCAAAGTGTAGAACAAAGTAAAAGGAGTATGATAAATACTTCAGTTTAGTTACAAAAACTACCCATAAAAGGCATTAACATACTTCAAATATCCCAAAATGTTTTAAACAATCTTACTTTGGATAAATTCAGGATTCTCTTCTGTTCCTGAAAATATGCCAAAGAAAGCAAACGCAGCTCGTCTGGCTATGTCCCAAGCAGTCCATTCCTTTATCAGCCGATATATTTGCACATTAATGGCACCTTCAGGATGAGCCTACATCAACAAATCACGAAATGATAATGTGTTGTTATTAATCTTTCTTTTCCTTTTTTGGCCGGTTTCAGAAAATAACGTGCCAACTCTAAAGAGGCTAATATGACTGTGATTTACCTCTTTGAACTCGGCCTCTGGCCGCACATCAAGAATGACGAAATTATTCTCGTTCTGAAGTCGAAAGGCTTCCTTTACATCAACACTTCTTACCTGCAAATGTGTACTCTTTTTTAACCAGTGAACTGTATTTTATTTTCACAGTTAATAACAAAGCAGCAAAAAGCATATATCCTGATGTTCGATATATTTCAAAGAACCCATCTGATTTTTACATCTACAGATCTACCTAAACAAAAGTTACCTCATTTGAGGCAGCAATTTCAGAGGGGGGTGGGATTTTTCATAATCAGACTAAAACTTCAAGAGTTATTTGTTTATCTTTTCAATTAATCCTACCTGTTTCTCTCCTTTCGGCTCATTTTCTTCTCTTACGATCAAAGACTATATATTGGGATGGCTTAAGATATTTTCACATCAATCAGTCTTTTAACACATATGCACTTTAAAAATCAAATGTTATACATTCCACAAAACAACATAAACAAAAATGTCATTTCATAACATAGATATGTGCACAATGATTACTCAAATCTGCATATATTATAAGAGTAATGCATAAATGATTCGATCTACCCTTTTCTCGAGCAGAATTTGTCGTTTGATCTTCCAATCTTCTTCAGCTGGAAAAGAAAATGAAGTTAAAAAATAGAGACACCTTATTTTTATTTTTTCTGGAAATTGTGTGTATTATAACTAAAAAAAAATTAAGTTAAAGACAAAAACCTGGTGTTTTTGCCTTCTTGGTTGCTGCATTTTGAACCCTGAGAGCTCTGTAGATGCTTGAGCTGCTTTTTCTTCTGCTGTGTAGTTTAATAGCTTTTGGAACAAAACAAGAAGAATTTGTTTCAATAGTATAAGGTTGAAATTTATGATATTGTGTGCTGATGTGAGCAAATGAATTAGCCATAGCCAGAGCTCCAAATGCTGAAAACTGTAGATAAATTCAAGGAATAATTTATGTTATCAGTAATAGTAATCAGTTGAGATTAACAATGTTAATTTTTTTATGAGTTCATTTTTCTTCGGGGTGCCACTGGTAACTGGAGATATTTTAGCTTGCTTACAATCTGGAATTCGTGGTGATGGTGCAAAGGTCTAATTCCACTTTGGATATTTTCATCCATGTCATTTGTATTTTTCTGCCACAAATGATAGCCATGTTGATATCCTTTTTATCTTTTAGAAGGCTAGAGTTGGTTTTGACTTTTGCTAAATGTAGTTGAAAAAAGTACTTAAATTGGAAAAACTACTGGAAGATTGTGATATGAGATGCATTATAAATTTATAATATGAGATTTTTTTAGCCCGATTTTTCTATGGAGCCAAACTTGAGCCATTGGCTCCAACTTTCTATACATAGTAAGTATATAGTACAATATTCTCTAATTAGTTAAAAAAAATTAATTCTTTAACTAGTTATAAATGGTTGCGAAAAAATTAGGATTATTTTACTATTTCTAAAATTTTAGAGGAATATAATGGGAAAATATTTGGTATGCCCAAATTGTGCAAATTCATGGAGTTAGTTAACAACTGGGAAACATGTAAATCAATTGCTTACTCAAATTTGTTCTATTGAATATTTTAGATATTTTCACATAGATTAAGAAAAATAGTCGTTGAGTATTCATCATTTTTACATTCCAATAATTGACTTTGATCGAAAGAGATGACATCAATTACTACTGTTGAGGTAAAAAATAAAAAGTGATTGACATTCATATACACATCAATCAAGATAATATATATAGTTGATACTTCTTGATAGTGTAATTTTTGTAATTGTCGATCATTATTGTCGCTGCCATTAGTTTTTTCATAGCTCAAAAACAAAAATAACATCATTTCAAAAGGAAAAAAATAAAATTACAAAATGAAACTGAAAAGAAAAAAAAAAAAAGAATGGTAATAATTATTAGATAAGGAGTATAGTTGCAAAAGTGTGCTAATACCACATTTAACTATGAATGTGAATGTATGACAGTTAAAAAACGAAAACAGCAAAATGAATTACAAGTGACGATACGTGGAAAGCTCCCCCCTTTGAACGCTTTAAATCCCTACTATATTACGAAAAATTCAGATATCAAAATTTTGACATGAGATCCTCAGTTCCTTACAGATTGTGGCGGGAACTAGAAGATCAAGCAGCATCCAACGGCTCAGCTTCGACATTTTTCTCCTTCAGCATAGTCCACTCGTCCGACTCTGTGGAAACAAAAATAGAAATAAACGAAGAAAACACGTAAGATGAAAGCACAGATCACTTCATCTTAAGATGTCTATTTAGTGACTGCAAAAACCCAACCAACTTTCAGAATTTTTAAAGAATTATCTGAGTTTTTAATTTGTTTAAGAGTCACCCCTTCATAGGTAAAAAGAAAAATTACAGAAACCCCAGTCCCATTCATAATAAAATTTCCAATAAGACCCTGGATAATATAGAACGAAATCAAATCTCAGGATACTATTGTAAATTGTAATGTTAGAGTTNAAAGAAAAAAAAAAAAAGACTATGGATTAAATCTAGCAATAGCTAGTAAATAATCAAAAACAATGCTATTGTGTTAAGAACTTAAGAGAGATGCTAAGCATCAAACAAATGATAATCCCATTTTTCCAAGAAGTAACCTATCTGGGCTTAAAATTGCAGAGATAAGCAAACCGCAAGCTGTTTATGGCTGTTAACGTGTGGATGATAGAAATAATGCAACGAAATCCAGAAGACTTACATTATACAGCACGACACAAACAAAGATATTTAGTGGGATGCGGAAGAAGTTCATTATAGTGCTTCGGGCCTCTTCAGGAATGTATTGGGATCTCATCTTCATAATGGAAGGCCAAAAGAGTCCAACACATGCTTCGAAAGTACAAAAGCCAAGAAGCTGAAGACAGCCCGAGAACGAGATGCCACCCTCTTTTACCTTTGGAGAAGTTGGCACCAAGAACTGCCATAAAAGGAGTGATTCGGATTAGATATAATTGAAATAACACAAAATCAAGAAAATAAATAGATGTTCAGCATACATTAGTCAGTATGGGGAGCAAAAGGGAGCCAGAAGAAATAACAAACACGATCTGCATGTAACTTTCCACTTTAATTGTGTTGCGGGCCAGTAAGCGGGCAGCGATTGAGCTTCCCAACATTGATGCCAACATGAAAGTTGCAAAGATAAAACCGTGAGGAATATCCTCATCGTTCGGGCTTAGGGCAGGTGTCCAGAGGAACACGAAAGTGTACATCGAGCCTTCAAACAAGGACTGTATTGCACCAAGCAATGCTATCTTCTCATCTGACAATATGAATATCATTTTGAATCAAGTTTCACAAAAAGGACATAATGAACTGATGATCATGGAAATAGAAAAAGGTATTTACCAAAAGAATATAAATAAAGAAAAGAAGAGAACACAAGATAAGTTGATCGGAATTTTGAAAGTGTTCAATAAAAGGTCTGAATTTCTGCTCAATTACATGTGCAGATGAAACCTAGAACTACAGAGTGAAAATCTGCAATAGGAAATAATCTCATTTTGATATTTTCTTTATTGCGAAAATATTGAGATTTTTAGGAAATATTAAAAAAATTCACTATTCACCAACTTCCAATTTGTTCTCCAACATATATACCTCAGCCGTGTATTTTCCTCCAAAAAAAATCCAATTAACAATATTCCCTCAATTTAACTATCAAAAGTTATATCTGAATTTTTTATCTTGTACCCAATCAACGTTAATAATTACATTTCCACTTACCCACTCAAGATTAATCATTCTTATTCAAAAATACAAAATAAAATGGTAACCAAATGGTGCCACAGCTTTGACTAAATATATTTACATGAAATCGTCTTCCGAAGTGTCAACCAAAATGAAAGGATTAGGAATACCTGAAGCAATAGCCACTGCTGCGCCTTTGAACTGAGTAAGCAAATCCTTGTTCTCTGAAGGGTCTCCATAGTTCTCAGTCCAAGATGATAATATAACTGCCATCCCAATAGAAAGAAGTATGGCAGCAGCATCAAAAGGAGATACAGGCCCAAGATTCAGGGAATCAACAAGAAAATTCCCAAAGAGCCCAGATAGAATAGCAACAAGACCATTTCCGAGAAAGATTGCCTTGGAGAAAGTTAATGAGAGCCATTGCTGATCAAAACCCCTCTGCATATATGCATAAAAGAAAGAGCAATAAGTAAATATCCCACATGTAACCAATCATAATGAGAAATGGGTGCATAAGAACAACAACTATATTCCGTAGTGAGAAAACTTCAACAAAAATAAAAGGCACCATACCAGCAAAATGAAAACTCAAAAGTTGAAGATAAAGAGATATCAATGAGCTACAGGTCTCTTGCAGATTGTAATAGTGTAAAAATAGTAAGTGAAGATATATAGAAATTTCATATTGCTGGATGTAATACCTGAGACAAAAATAATCACATCAAAATATCATTCTAATTCTATTCATTTAATTGCAAAAGTTTAAACATGACGAGGACATAAACTATTCCAAAATGAATAAGCACTACCAGATTCATGAGTGCGCACAAAATGGAACACAATTATGCATAAAGACAATTCACCTTGAAGTGCTCTGCCACAAGCCATGACTCAAAAGCAGAAAATAAGAGGGATGTTGCAATACCACCCAAAACACGGCCTATCATCAGAACTCTGTATTGGGGAGAATGCTTGGTGATGCAGCTCAGTATGTACGTGATGCAGTAAGTGACACATGCTCTCTTTCGTCCCCTGCAGTTTCTCACAGAAGTCAAAAGGGAGACAAGATATTCAGTGGAGAAAAATGGAACATCACTTTAGGAGAATATCTCACTGTTTATCTGCTAGAGATCCAACGATAGTTCCAAACAACATGGAAGACCCAAATCCCGCAATAAAGAGCTGTCCAATCTCACCTTTCCCAAAACCATAAGTACTGTAAAGGTAGTAAACATATGGTCCCTGCAGCCAGTCACCGGCTATTTGCCCCATGTGGACAAACAATCAGCAAAAGTAAACATTATTGGTTACAAAGCTATTACAAGAAAACTGTAAGAAATTTGCTAAAAACAAGCATAAATGGAAAAAGGGCAACACAATTCATAGCAATGGGATTCTTTCTTAACAGGATAAAATATATTTATTAGCTTGAATTAATCTTCTCCATTTTGGAATTATATATTTATTATAGACCTAGGGAACAAATAGCAATGGAAGAATATTAAAGCAAAAACTTCACAATAAGCAAATTAAGTCATAAATTTCAAAACAGAAAAGAGAATCAAGGAAATCGTGGCACAAAAGGCCAAATTATCATTTTACAGTAGCGCATCAGAATTCAGATCATACTAACATAGTTCCTTAAGATGGTTGAAATAACTTCGGATAATTGATGAAAACAATTCTACAAGACTGAACACGTTAGAAAACAGTTGAAAGAAGTGATATATACAATATAAATGAATCAATACACGGGATCATACAGTTCTCTCACTTCACAGTATTATATCAAACCAACATATTCGAGCTACAAAAAAATCACCATCACTCAATCAAACCCACAATTCTGGAATTTTATAAACCACTCACAACATGGATTAAGCAAATACAGACCCAGCAAATAGCCAGATCTCCAGAAACTCCCTCTCGAGCATCGGTAAAATCACATTCACAGTCAGATCCAAAAAACAAGAGCATTTGTCCCATTCATTCGATCTACCACACATCAAATCACACATAAAACCTTCGAATGCACATAACAATAAACACAAAGCTGCATTCACACTTTCCAACACCACAGACTGTCATTGTAACACGTATCTACTACACATTCAAAACATTTCATAGCAAATGCATCTCGCAACCACAGTGACAAACATTTCATCAGCAGTTTTGCTCAACCAAATTGACAGAGATCGATCAACTCCAAATTGCGCACAAAATCAATTGAAAAAAATAAAAAAGGCACAGATCTAAGATCAGATTACAAATTCACCTACCCATCATCAGAGAGTAAACGAGCAAGTAATTGTTCTTGAACGAATTGAAAGCTGTAGAAGTATTAATCCGATCTTTGTTGCTTTTGCTCAGCTCCAATGCTGCCACCACCGCCGCCAACGCCCCAAACACCATATAGTAAAATATCTCCATTTTTTTTTCTCTGGGACAGCACTCAACTGTTCGTTCTTCAGTTAGAAAAGACGAATGAAACCCAAAAATTAAATAAAATAAAATCAATTGAAGCTCTGTGAGATTTTTACGTGTGCTGTGCTACAGAAGGAAGTAGGTAGATATATAATATATATATATATACGCAGGGGAATACACGCACAAGCTGAAGCAGTGTGTTTTTACTTTTTTGGGTGTAAACAAAGCTGCGCTGTTTCGTACACGAAATTTCATGATATTGTTTTTTGAAAAATAAATAAATAAATGAACTTTGAAGAAACAAGTGTAGCGACGGATTTAATAATTTTATAATGTGAAATAATATGATGTAAAGAAGTTATTAATTATGATCTGGTAGAAAAATAACAATATAATAATTGATGATTTTGGACGTGTTTTATAAAGTAGTGTTTAGTAATGATTATTTTTTTATTTTAAAAGTTATTTGATTCTGTTTGAATTATTTGATTTTTATTTTAAAAATTATACTAAAAACATGAGACAAGTGAATGTATTATTTTTTAATTAGTGGATAAAAAACTTATATCATCCATATCCAACCATATAAATTATTATAATAAAATACAATATTCCTATCATTTCTCCTTTTATCAACGTGCCCGCCATGAACATAACTACATAAGAGTGGACCAAAAACCGAAATGATTATTAGAGATCAAACTTTGTTAGTTTAATAACTCTATGAAGGTGTCCTCAAAGTCAAAACCCCTATTCACAAGAGCGTAATTAATATTAAAAAAATTATTTGAGACATCCAATAACATTACACAAATGGACTATTTAATATGGTATTATTCACAAAAGTAGGAACTCTGTGACGATTGCTAAGTAAGAACTCTGCTTTTTTTTTTAAAAAAAAGCTTTATGGATTCTTCTAAAATTTTGACCTATATTTCAATGAAAATTGGAAGTTGATCGAGTGAAAAATGGTTTCGCCTAAAAAAGTTTTCTTCTGTCCAATAACNTTATATTATAAATTTATAATCCCCAAACAATAATTATTAAATTAAATTAACCATACAAACAAAACAGGCCAGCACGATACATACTGAAAAAAACAAAGAAAAAAAAAGGAAAAATTTTAAAAGGATCGAGCAAATTTTACAATAGTCCCAGGAGGCCCCAAGTTCTCATAAGCAAAATTAGTAAATTACTACAAAATCTCCCTACATTTGTAGAAAGATAATGCAGTTGAACCCAAGTCCGTTGCTATTTAAGACAAGAATCAAACTTCAAGAGGGACTTTTGAAATGTTTCAAGGCCCTTGGGATATTTCTATAAATACCTCAAACTTTGTCTGATTCCTTTTTCCATCTATCCCATCAAACATCAGCTCAAAACACACACAGTCACACAGTCTTTTACTTCATTTTGAGACTCTTGAATACTGATTATTTTCTTAAAGAAAAATGTTTTTTTTTTTTTGGTGGGCAAATAGGAAAAAATTCTGCACAAAATGTGTAGTAATTAGTGATTGGATGCTTAAGATATTATTCAAAAAATGAAAAGTTTCAACCAAGGAAAATTTCTTAAAACTAAAATGGCATCCAGACCCACCATTTTTTTGCCTCAGAACAAAGCTTGAAACAAGTCAAACAACACAAGTAGCTAACACGATAATCAAATAAGTTTTCAAATAATTCAATTACTATTGCAAGAGAAGCACATCAAATGATTCAATTATGTACCATATTGAACAGTAATTGGGTGCACACTAATATTTTTAAACCAGTTAAAATTAGAACAGAACAAGAAAATTTAGATTTTACAACACAAACAGTTAAAACGGCAATACAATCTACCTTCAATGCCTTCACCAGTGAAAACGTTTCAGGTTCACAAAACACGAAAATGGAATCATCAACAGAGCAACAAGAATGCACCAAAGGCAAACATCATGTACGAGGTCCATGTGCACAAAATAATAAGCTAAAAACGGAGATAAACAAATTAAATCTCAGTTTCTTTCACTTTCATTAGCTGCTTAGTGGAACAAAGGGTGATTTTTCTAACATGAGTTCTCTAAATCTAGAAAAATGGTAAACTCCTCATAAATGTCCGGAAAATAAAATAGGAAGCAAGAAAAAAACAAGTACAAAGGAATATGCAGAAAGCCTTCAATAAGCATCCGAAAATGATCTAATTACAGTTGTGATCCTTGAAGTATTTATATGTCAAATAAACCAACACCACACTCTACAATCAAAATCAAATAAGCCAAAAAATGCCCTTTTTGAAACAATGAATGGTATGTGGGTAGCATTTTCTTTTCACATCCCAAATAGTGCATATTTATTACAATCGGCATTCATGCTAGTTCATCCATGTGATAATCTCATAAACTTCACAGTAGAAGTTGCTACTGAACAAAATTATTTCACCACTTTCACATGATCCATCCATAGCTAATATTTCGTAGTTCAACAAAACATCTACGGATAGAGAGTTTGAGAGACACTAAATATACTTACATGCTCCCGAGTATTTTCTTTATTTGCACCAATGCCATCTTTGAATTGCACTAATAGAAGCAACTTTGGATTAAACCTTCTTCACAATTTCTTCGCTAGCACGTTTATAGTAAGTCATCCTACGTATTGAAGCAAGAGCATCTTCAAAGTTTTTATTCTGATAAGCATCTTCAAATGAATCGGTTGAATGTACCAGTTTTTCCTGCAACTGCAAATCACAGGTAAATAAAATTCTTTTGATAAGCCCTTCACATCTATGATTTTTTTTTTTTTTTTTTTATAANTTTTTTTTTTTTTTTTTATAAATGATATTAGTTATTTTCCAAGACAAATTAATTAAATCACATGTATATAGATTATTGAACGGCTTTCAGTTTGTACCTGAGATTGGATCTCATTTAATGCCCGAGTGTCATTAGCCTCATCAACAGCTTCCCTTAATTCCATGATCTGCCATAGCCCATTCCAAATAAAATTTGAAAATTAAGTTTCCTTCAAACTTATATGAGAGCTAAGACTACAAGACCTTGAAAGTGGAAATACATCACAAAACATTTAAAAACATAAAATTACCTCAGCAAGTAGCTCAGGATCTGTAATCCTTTCTTCTTCATCAACAAGCACACCTTCTAATTTCAACTGCATAGGTTATATGGAAAACGAGTGGAACTGAGTGGAAAAGAGAAGAAACAAAGTCATGCAAAAAAAAAAAACTAATTGAAAACAGAGACTTAATAAATCCCAACATATAAAGATTGATAGTTCTATCAGCTATGAGTGATAACACATAACGCTAGTTTGACAGCTTTTAATTACTAATAAACAATAAATTAAGGAGAAGAGGTCCCCTGATCTAACTATTAAAGTTATCAGCATATTCATCCGAAGTGTAGAGTGAAACATCAAGGTTCCAGATGCCTTCTTTTATTTCTTTTTTGAAATGTATTCCAAACAACATGAATTTCTTGAGCAACATTTTGAAGTCATCGATTACGAAAAACTAAATTACATAATAATGTGATCTTAAGTGGGAACACAAAAAATGCACAGAATAGTATCAGGAAGATAAAAAATATCCCCAATAAAATAAGATTCTCTTTTTTAAGGAATCAATTGAGAGCATGATTTACACAAAAAGGTTCAAATTTAAAAAACTTACAATATATATTGCCCTCGACAATGGATCAGTGAGTGTGCGGTATGCATCTATAACTCGAGCAGATTGTTCAGCAGCGTACTCCCTCTCTCTCTAGTCATCCACATCAGTAAGTTCAAAAAATGTATGATATTTTACGGAACATATGTTTTACAAAAATAATAATAATAATAATAATAATAAAGGAACTTTAAGGAGCAGTTCAAAGCCAAGACCAACCTGAGATTTTGAGTGGACTAGATCAGGATGCAGCTTCTTTTGCCAGTCTTTGTACTTCTTTTCCAATTTATCCACCTCAAGTTTATATTCCCTTCCCCTAATGTCAAAAAGAGCTCCCTCGTCAATTTTTTAATACAAGAAACTGCACAAAGAACAACAAATACTAAACTTATGCTCACCGAAATTCAAACTCCATAACTGAAAAAAAAAAAAAAAGATCGATAAATAGAAATACACTCACTGTCCAAAAATCTGGAAATAATCAATGGCTTCATTAACTGGCTGGACACTGTGACATGCTTGGCAGAAGAGGAACGGCGTTGTGTTGTTGTCAGGCTCAGAACCGCAATTCCAGCAGTGAGATTTTAGGTCGGAGTTCGATTGTGAGCAGAAAAAGCTCTCAATTTTCAGAAATGAATTTGCATAATCTCTCGTAAGTGTTCTACTCGAAGCTGGGAAAATCAAATTTCTCGCTGAATAAAATGTTCTTCCTTTGGGCCTGCCAAGTAAACAAGACGAAGAAGAGGAGAAATTGACGGTCGGAGGATTACAACAGCGGGAAATGAAATTCGATGGACTGAAATCCGCTGACGTTATAGCGCGAGTAAGGATTGTTGAGATTTGTGTAGACTGATAGAGTTTTTTCTTCCACATTCTGAGGACAGAGGGTTTAGAGAGAAAGAGAGAGAGAGAGAGAGAGAGAGGGAGGAGTAGCCGCTGGATTTATACGCTTGGCCTCTGCTGCATCA